TTGATTAGATTTCTTTAATGTCTCATTCAATACAGAATTCTCAACTGTATTCTCATCCCTGCCTTCTTCACCGCAGGCAATAGTGGTGAAGACAGCAGTGTTATCTAGCCACAACTAAGTACTTCTACATCCCATTAGTTGGTGGGAACAAGCAATGAAAACACTCAGTAGAACTATTTAATTGTGGCTGGATTCTGTCATGCAGAATAGCTGCATCACCAGTATCATGCTCACTTGCGCAAAAAGATTGTGAATTCTGTCATTTGTCTGGGTTTTACGGATTATTCCTATCCAGTAGAGGTTGATATGTTCTCAAGTCATTTCCAACTTATGGAGACTATAGGATAAATATAATAACGGGAGAGTTCTTTGCAAGATTTGTTTAGCTATGTTCAGATATATATAGACTGAGATAATGTGATTCGTCCAAGGTCATCCAGTGGATTTCCATAGGAAGGCATGGGTTTGAATTCTGCTTTCAAGAGTCACAGTCCAATGTTTATACTGGGAACATACCATCCAGAAACTTTCAAAGATCAACCTAAAAACTGACCTCTATCATATTCAGTTCTGCACAAATCAGTTCTTGGGGGAAAGACCTGTTTAGCAAACCTTGCAAATACAGTACGTTTGTATTTTATGCCTATTTTATATACCTATATATCTGGGGCCATGTAAAAATTTCTCAGGTGAAAAGAGATCATGAAAAAAATTATTGGGTGGAAAGGGGTCATGAATGGAAAATGTTTAAGGTCTACTACTTTCAGTGCAGTCACACCATACAATTAAGAGAAGTCTCTTTTCCAGATCCCATCACCATGCCTACAGAAAGACAGGCAATGCCCTAAAACAGTCTTTTTTCCAGATATGACCCAGAATGCATCTACGATGTAGAATCTTCAGACTGGAGAAAGGAGACAAAATATGTAACTTTCATGTTGATGAAAGCTCTTTGAATATGCTCACATTCACCGATTATAAATTGACTCTTCAAAATGTATTTATGTTAGCTTGTTTTAAAAATTAATCATTTTTATAATCTCTATCCTACGCGTGTTCATAATTATACATAAATTCATTTGTTTAAGGAAGCATATCAAGGTAACAGGTTGAATAGGTATTGGGCTTTAAATGATTTTTTTTACATTTGCAAAAAGGGTAGTCTTCAATCTTAAAAAAATGCAACAGCACCACCTAGTGCAAACACGATGTTCTTCTGCAAGTCATCAAGAGCCAAAATGTACCCACCATGACCACCATGAAGCCATGATTGCATTGTTGTCTTGGTAAAAACCCCTTTAGATTCAGTTCACCATAGAATGATCAGACCATCACCAAGAAGCTCTTCAGTCTAGACTAGAAAGCTGGTCCAGTTAATAAGTGTAATGTATGGGGCATAGTATGGTGTTGGACTATGATTTTGGGAGACCAGGGTTCAAATCCCTTTTAAACTATGGACACCCACTGGGTGATCTTGGTCAAAGCACACTCATTTGCTGAGGAAAAAATTGCTGAGGTCCATTTGCCTTAGGGTCATAAGTCAGAAACTACTTGAAGGCACACAATATAATCATGAGGGATTCTGTTCATGCCTTTAATTTTTGAGTTGAAGTTTTCTTCAGAATCAAGCTAATTCACTTGACAATAACCTTGACATGTAAATAGCTGTCAGGTAACATTCAACTGAACGAACTTTTGTGCAACTTTGTATAATGATGTGCTTTATGCTGCCTTCCTCCCACACAAGACAAGACTGAGACACTCATTTCATCTGACTGAGAGGTATCATCCAATTACGGCAAAATATCATACAAATCAGGTAGATCCTTGTTCATTGTCAAATCAGACCAAATTACTGGTGTAATTATATCGGCACCCCAAGAGCAAGCATTTCTTGCACCACCTTTTTCTATTCGATAAATTTATCAACACATATGAGAAACCTCAAACATTGACTTTTAAATGCAAAATTAAGATAATTGTGGTGGAAAAAAACAATGACAACATCCATAAAAAAGCAAATGGCTTCCAGGAGTGACAACAGATGCCATTGTGGTAAGAACAGTGAATGGATTTGTCTACGAAGGCGAACAGGTTTCCTTCAAATGTGTAATGCAGCTATAACAAAGGAAATTTGTATCCTACATTACAGAAAACATATTTTAGCATCTAATTAAGAAGTGTTCTCCTCTTATACACAGAGGATTTAGTTCTAAGAGGATTTGCCACCTGGCATTAATGCTTTGGGCACTTTTAGAATTATTTGCTGGAATGAAAAACAAAGAAGTTTTCTTGCATAAGGAGCCTCAAGGGTTTTGGCCACAGATGTAGAACAGCTTGCAAACTGTTTAAAAATAGGATATTTCAATTTTAAAATCTGAAACCATAAAAACTATTTTTTTAAAAAAAACAAAACCCTGTCCATGAAAATTTGAGCACCAATTGTTATAAGTTATGAATTACAAGCAGACATTGATGTGTCTGCTTGCCAGAATCTGAATGCATTGTGAGAGACATGCTGGCAGGCTGGGAGTAGCAAATAAAATCCTGGATCCCTAGCCATCTTGGAAGAAGGCAAGATAGGATTGTTCTTCAAAAACCCATCCCTCCTGCTGACAAGGAAATTGTCCCATTGTTGCATTCTGGGGAGCACTTGGTGCTTAACTGTCTAGATTACATGTACTGAATAGAGACCCTGCCAAAGCGACTAGCTGGTTCATTCTCTCATTCCACAATTTCCAGATGTTGGCAGATTATGTATGAATTTGAAAGAGAGCAAATTTTTATAAATTGGCTTTGTCCCATTTGTTCTCCTTCACTTTTTTCATCCTTCAAGGCTATCTAAGAGTCAGTACCAGTTCCCAAAGAGTGGTGGACAGAGGTCCTTTTCACCAACAAGAAACATAAGCTTTGTATTTGTAGCACATAGGGCCTTTAAAAAAAAAAACAACTCCCAATATTAAGGTCTTGATTTGCCCTATCCAGAAGGGTCTCCACTGCTCTAGGTTACAGTCCCCAAGTTAGATAGAGGCAAAGGAGCAAAACAAGAAATAGCCTCCAAAGGATCCACAAAGAAGGAAAATCTGCAAAAGGTCCACAAATATCTTTTGTCTCTAGAGTTCCCAGAAAGTGTGTTTGTGTGTGTGTTGAAAGGGTCCCCAGAGAGAGTCTCCAGGGGATCTTCATTTCATCTTCATCAAGAACCTGCTTTTTCAGACTTGGTTAAATGAAATTGCAGGTACTAGCCCTGTGGATATGGGGAGTTGTACTGTATTTATTATAGAGCTTGAGTTGACTTTCTGGATAAATTGATTGTGATAATAGAAGTGCTCTGGGTTTACTGGTTTGGGGGAAAAACATAGTTCTTTCCTAGCTGTTCCTTATGACTTGTTCACATTAATATCCTAACATACACCTATATCTGTTATATCTGGATTGAATACAGGTTACCCAATTTTTAAAAATCTTATAAAGTTCACCAAACAGGATTGTTGGAACTTTTGTATCTTTGAAATGGAAATGAACATCTCAATTCATGTTGACATTACGTTTTTAAACAAATTTTCATTACGGTGGGCCCTTGGTATCTGCTGGAGCTTGGTTCCATGGCCCCCAATGGATATCAAAACCTGTAGATGCTCAACTTCCATTATATACCATGGCATTGTAAAATGGAGTCCCTTATATAAAATCAAGGTCTGCCTATGGGAATTTTTAAGCAAGCTGTAGATCATTGAAGCCATAGATATGGAGGGCAAACGGTGCTGCACTTTACAAACTACCAAACAATAACAGGCAGAACACTCTTTACATTCCTTTGTAGCCCAAAAAATCTTCATCTGAAATGTGGAAACAATTAGAGGAAATAATACAAGACAGCACTTGTTGATTTCGACCAGTGTCAAAGCTGCCATTACTATTTATTGCTATGTGTTTATCCATAATGACTGCAGCAAAACAATTAGAACAATGTAGTTACTTTTGCTACATACAAACTACAGACTGTGAATGCAATTTAACAATAAAAGGATGGAAATACAATATCAAATCAATACAGAACTCTGTTTTTCTGCTGCAGTTTCAAATTCTTTCAAAAAATACCAGAAGGCGATGAAAAAGCAACTTCATTATAAAGATGATCTTACTTCCAACTCAGAACTTGTAAACAGATTAAGTGACTTAGATCTCAGTCAGTAAAATTTAACAAGAGTGCTGAAAGAAAGGACAGAGCAATTCAGCTACATACTGTCAGGAATGCTTAAAAACTGAACGTGAAAAGACAGTAAATTCATACCCAGAATCTTTATTTAAATGCTAATGTAGTGTTCTTTGAATATTTTTCCCACTATCACTTTGTGGTTTGTAGGGGTAATTCACATTATTTTTTACATTATTATCTTAGATCACTGCCCAGCAATTAAATGGTTGCCACATAAAAACAAAAACTATTGTTTCTGTTCCAATTCAATATGACATTCCCCCTTGCTCTTGATAAACTACTGAATTGGCCAACATACTTTAAAATATGACAGGAGAGGGATTCAATAAGGGCAAAGTATGCATCTATCAAGGGCGAGTAACAGAAGACAGCTCTTTGGAAAAATCATATCACAAAGGAGACATAGCAACTGGATAGTACTGGGCAGAAGGAAATGTTCCGACGCAGTCAATGCCTAATGATTCTTCAAAACGTATTTTTCCAATACCAAAGACACTATTCCTAGTTTATCAGTTCTTAAGAAAACAAACCAACAAACAAACAAACAAAACCCAATGCCAATTTTTGTGACTTTATACTGGACATGAAAATGTACATACCCAAAAGCCAGTTTTCTCACAAAAATTTCCAACATGCTAGTTTGAAATGGATTTAATCCGAGGGGAGGATATTCTGCTCACAAATGTGTCTACTTTATTTTTTTTATTGTTTATTTGATTTGTATACCGCTACTCCCAATTTGGCTCAGAGCGGTTCACAGCAGTAGATTAAAACAATACAATTAACTTTAAAATACAAAAAAAAATTGGTATAAACAATTAACTTTAAAATAAAATAAAAATTGGTGTAACTCCAGTAATAGAAGCTGTTCAGTGATCATCACACTCTGAAGATGTACCTGGCTTTATTTTCCCTGTAAAGTATCCAAAAAGGATACTACTTGGAACATGAGTTTTCCTCATTTCTTGCAGACTGATTCTTCCAGATATTTGTTACAATAACAATGCTACTCCATGTTTTCCAGAGGCTTCAGTCTATTTTGGTGCCCTACCATTTGACACTTCAAAGTGAAAGATTCAGAAGAGATTACTTTATGAATATAAGAGCAACCTGTACTTCTTCTTTCAACATAAAACACAGCATGAAACCCAGTCTGTACTAGAAGAGCACCAAAGAATTCCTTCATCTTATTTCATTCTGGCATATCTTTCATGTGGCCATTGAATCATTTCAACCTATGTAATTCCAGAATATCTTTTATGTAGACGTAGTTGTGACTTTAGCAGATTATTGATTTCACGTGAGGTGCAGCTGTGAAGAAAAATGACAAAGTTAAAACTATCAATCCTCTAACCACCAAAATATCTGCCTTTGTTTTGGTAAATTTTCTCATGCTTCTTCCCTGAAAGCATTCTGAGGAAGCTGCTGTGCTGAGTTAATAGATGGATTTAAAAGTAACAACCTGATTTCCATTTAATGGAGGACTTTATCCCACGCAGTCTTCACTCCATTTCTCTGTGCTGCTGAAACAGAGTCCCATGGAGGCCATCGCATGACATAAGGCCACTTCCAGTGGTTACCTGTGGGACTCGATGTGGCAGCACAGGAGAACAGAGGGTGGAGTCGGATGCTACCTGACTCCCAACCAGAGAAGACAAACAGAAGAAGTGAAAGGCGGAGAAAGGTGTGGTGAGGCTGCCATCCCTGAATATGGAAAGGCATAGGACCTTAATGGTAGGTAACAGAACAAGATGGTTCCCTCTGCTTTTCTCTGCTTCCCCCCTCCCCTGGGAAGAAGTTCTCATTTGGTTTGCTCTTCTTTCCCTCACTTTCCATCCTTCAGAACCACAGCTTTTCCTCCCTCCTCTTCATATCTTAAAGTTTACTGTCATACATACTTTATGACAACCTCTAACTTTGGCAAGTTACACTATTTCTTGTGTCCAACAGGCAAGCATTAAAAAAAGAGCAAGGAAGGGACATTACTTACATACCCATCAAGAAAGAAAGCACTCCGAATGATTGTATTTTCAATCAGTCATGTTTCTCTCTCCTAAAGGAATACGGTCCCACAGCTGTAGCAACTGTTCACCAACCTGAGGTTCCAGTTCCTATTTTAAAAAGGAAATAAAAAATAATAAAGGTTTCTAGAGCTATATGTTATGAATAATCTTTGCAAGTCTAGTAGGAATAGTCTTGCACAGGATACATGTTGAGTTGCTGTGATTTTTCCGGGCTGTATGACCATGTTCTAGAAGCATTGTCTACTGACGTTTCACTCACATCTATGACAGGCATCCTCAGAGGTTGTGAGGTCTGTTGGAAACTAGGAAAATGGGGTTTATATATCTGTGGTATGTCCAGGGCAGGAGAAATAACTCTTGTCTTCCACCCTGGGTATTCCACGGAAATATAAACCCCACTTGCCTAGTTTCCAACAGACCTCACGATCTCGGAGGATGCCTGTCATAGATTTGGGCAAAACATCAGGAGAGAATGCTTCTGGAATATGGCCATATAAGCCCAGAAAACTGACAGCAACCCAGTGAATGCCTTCAACAACACAAGGATACATATTCTCTTTTACTCTGAGAAAAAGCCCCTCTTGACCATATTTCTAGCAGTAGTATAAAAATGAATAATACAATAAGCCCCCATATACATGGGAGCAGTACCCATGGTTTCATTTTTCCATTTCTGATGCAATATGGCCTCTCTAGACAGGCCATGTACGGTTTTTATATTTTATATTGTATGCTAATGTTTTTAACAGTATTTCATGATTGTTTTATTTGTTATGATTGTTGAGGCATCAAATTGTTGCCAACTGTGAATCGCTCTGAGTCACCTGTAGGCTGAGAGGGGCAATATATAAATATGGTAAATAAATAAATAAATGTCTAGGTTTTACAGCACAACTCTAATATATTCTCAGGCCAGAAGTACTTCATTTCAAAAAAGGTTCACTGATAACCAGTTTTGCTTATTCATGTGATTTCTGAGAAAAATCTTCATGGATCTGGGAGTTATATACTATATTGTTTTTTTAAAAATGACAATTCGTTTTGACAATCAAGACTGATAAAAGAAGAAGTCTGATGCTAATCATATTATATCTTTATGGTCAGACTGTACAAACCAGCATACCTGGCCATCTCGGCTTATTTGTACTTTCTTGTTGTCATTCCAGGGGTTGAGTAAATGATGAGCAAACTGAAAGGGAAGACTTTCTTTCCGGATCCATTCCACCTTGAATACGCCCCCTAAACCAGTAGAGCCCCAATCCTGACTTTTCTCACGCCCAATCTCTGAAGACATGCGAGCAAAACCCTGCAACAAATTTTAGTAAGACAGAAAATACAAATTAATCCCAGTTGAACTTCTATACTACTTTAACCGCACCTAAAAGTGTCTTAATGAATCTTTCAATGTTATCCTCACCAAGGCAAGCTAAGGTTTTATGAATGAATAATTCTGAGGTATGTTTCTATATATATCTATATCCTTGTTCTAAACACATCAGTTCAAGACAATGTACAGAAATAAGCTTTCCTATTCTTTGGCAGAGGTTAACTTTGTATTGTTGCAAAGGAAGATTATCTTCATCACCCACAATAGCTTGGGTTGGGAAATGCAGAACAACTACACCAACAACTGAGAAAACTGTCCTATCGCAAGACAGTTTCTGCCAATTGTGTTATTTGAGATAGTGACCCTTGACTTAAGAGTTTAATTCATTCTGTGACTGAGCTCTTAACTCAAAATGCTCTTAATTTTCCCATTGAAATGCTATTAATCCATTCTGGCCCCCTGACCCCCCCCCCCCATTTTATATGTGTTTTTAAATAATAAAATATACTTTTATAAATAAAAAATAATGTATAAATGCGCGTTCACATAAAACAATAAACAAGAAAAACCAACTTTAAAATGGTAGAAGCTCGAAGTTGTGGCAAGGAAGCACAAACTACCAAGTAAAGAGGCAGAAGCATCATTTTCTTCATACTGTACTCATTCCAGCCTCCCTCCCTCTCTTGCTCTCTCACCCTCTCTCTCTTCATGAAGCCAAACATACCAAGAATAAAAACCACACAAAATCAACTAAACCAAAGTTCCTCAAAGTGGAGAAGAGCAAAGCAGCTGAAAGTGTTCTGCAACTTATTGCTGTTTTGGTAAGGGAAAAGATCTATCTCAATTTTGAGGTCCAACAATTGACTTCACAGGGCTGTGCTATCACAGACTTGAGGTAAGGGGAATGCAGGGAGATCATATACTTGAATAAAGTCTGAAGTAAATGTTACATACACAATATGTGTGGTATCCAAAACTTCCTTCTTAGCATGCTAGCTTTGTATTTTTAAGGAGTTATAACACAGAAGTACATACAAAGGAACAAAACTCAGCGAAGAAATAAAATAAATTTAACAAATAAGTATTGCGGATATATCAGAACTTGTTATATTTTGCTATCATTATGATGAACTTTCTGCAGTTAAAGCTAATTTTCCTGAATAGTTCTCACCTGGAAATGTCCTGACCCTTGAACAGAAAATACCAAGTAAACAACACTGCTCTCCCAAAAGGCTCGGTTTAGTTTTCGCTCATTACTTGGAGTTGTAGACCAAATTCCCTTCTGTTGTGAAATCTCAAGGTTCCTAAGATTGCTGCTTTTCACAATAAAGTACCGAACTGGCATATTTGGCCTTGGAGAAGGAGACTTGGAGCCCTACCAAAAACATGAAATAGTTTTAAGAAACCCTTTTAATATGTATGCTCATACATGAAACACAAAATCACAAATATTATTTAAACAAACACCAATTTTCCACTACCCAAGAGTATGCCTATTTGGCAGATGTAAATTTGCAATTTAAAAAATAAATCAGATATTACACTCACTCATTTGTATTTTAATTATTATTATTATTATTATTATTATTATTATTATTATTATTATTAGAAACACAACAAGATGAGTCCACAGCAGACAAGATCACTCTGCTGGCTGTTGTATTGGATCACATGTCGGACACTTCCCAAGTGTCTAGGACTGTGTGATGTATCGGCGAATAATGCGTGCAGATCCCAGTAAGGTGGCCTTTTGCAGCTGGCAGATGGTAATCTTGTCAGCGCCAATTGTGTTTAAGTGCAGGCCAAGGTCTTTAGGCACTGCACCCAGTGTGCCGATCACCACTGGGACCACCTTTACTGGCTTGTGCCAGAGTCTTTGCAGTTCGATCTTTAAATCCTCATTTCATGTCAGCTTTTCCAGTTGTTTCTCTTCAATCCTGCTGTCACCTGGGATTGCAACATCGACAATCCATACTTTGTTTTTTAACATGATTGTGAGGTCAGGAGTATTGTGCTCCAAAACTCTGTCTGAATTTGGAAGTCCCAGAGGAGTTTGACATGTTCATTTTCTGTAACTCTTTCCGGCTTGTGATCCCACCAGTTCTTTGTCACAGGCAGATGGTATTTGTGGCACAAGTTCCAATGAATCATCTGAGCAATGGTGTTGTGCCTCTTGTATTCTATCTGTACGATCTTCTTGCAGCAGCTGAGGATGGACAAGGGACAAAGAAGAGAATAGTCAGCTCAGAAAGCTCATTTCTATATATATAAATCTGTTAGGTTGGTTCAACCGGACAGCAAAACTCCACAACCCCCCAACGAAACTTAACCAAAATTCCCATGCCCATAACACAACCCACAAGGTACAAACATATCTACTCAAAATGAAAAACAACACAACAACACACTCACAAAACGGCAAAACAACAAAACTAAAAAAAAACCCCAACGAAACTTAACCAAAATTCCCATGCCCAGAACACAACCCACAAGGTACAAACATATCTACTCAAAATGAAAAACAACACAACAACACACTCACAAAACGGCAAAAAAAAAAACCAACGAAACTTAACCATAATTCCCATGCCCATAACACAACCCACAAGGTACAAACATATCTACTCAAAATGAAAAACAACACAACAACACAGTCACAAAACGGCAAAACAAAAACTAAAAAAAACCCAACGAAACTTAACCAAAATTCCCATGCCCATAACACAACCCATAAGGTACAAACATATCTACTCAAAATGAAAAACAACACAACAACACACTCACAAAACGGCAAAACAACTGAGCATGCGCATTGGTGCCCAGCCGCAAGTTCCCTGGCGCGCGCACACAGTTCCCTCTGCGGAAGCCATGCCCACTCCAAGCCCCGCCGCGCCGCTTCCCGCACACACACACCCCCTGCCGCACGCACACACACAACCCCACGCTCCATCACTCCCCCCGCCGCACACACACACGCAACCCCACGCTCCATCACTCCCCCCGCCGCCGCACACACACACGCAACCCCACTCCCCCGCCGCCGCACACACACACGCAACCCCACGCTCCATCACTCCCCCCACCGCCGCACACACACCCCCCCCCCCCCCCGCCGCACACACACACGCAACCCCACGCTCCATCACTCCCCCCGCCGCCGCACACACACACGCAACCCCACGCTCCATCACTCCCCGCCCCAATCTTAACTCCTTTTACTTCACGCCACCTCCAAACCCCACCCCCCCCCCTCCCCCCCCCTGTTTAAAACGGAAGGAAGAAAAGAAGGAAGAAGGAAGAAGAAAGAGAGGAAAGAAAAGAAAAAGGGGAAGGGAGGATATAGAGAAAGGAAGAAGAAAAGAAAAGGAAAGATGGAAGGAAAAAAAGAGAGACAGCAGAAGAGAAAGAAAAAGGGGGAAGGAAGGAAAGAGGTAGAGAAGGAAGAAATGAGAGACAGGGAGGGAAAGAAAAAAGGGGAAAGAAGGAAGGAGAGAAGGAAAGAAAAAAGGGAATGAAGGAAGGAAAGAGGGAGTGAAGGAAGGGGAAGATGTAGAGAAAGAGGGAGGGAAGGAAAGAAGGAAAGAGAGAAGGAAGAAAAGAGACCAGAAGAGAAAGAAAAAGGGGGAAGGAAGGAAGGAGAGAAGGAAAGAAAAAAGGGAATGAAGGAAGGAAAGAGGGAGTGAAGGAAGGGGGAAGATGTAGAGAAAGAGGGAGGAAAGGAAAGAAGGAAAGAGAGAAGGAAGAAAAGAGACCAGAAGAGAAAGAAAAGGGGGAAGGAAAGAGATAGAGAAGGAAGAGGAGAAGGAAAGAAGGAGAAGGAAAGATGGGAGGGAAGGAAGGAAGGAAGGAAGGAGGGAAAGAAGGAGAGAAAGAAGGAAGATTGGCCACAGCAACACGTGGCGGGTAAAGGTTGTTATTTCTATTATTATTATTATGCTATTGTTCCTATGAGACCCTTTTAGGGGGAATGGGAGAGGTGTCAGGTCCCAGAGGCAATGCATTGCATTATTGTTATTGTTATGATGGTGGTGAAATAAAAGGAAATAAAAAGTGAAAGAAGGAAGCAAACAGGGAGGGAAGAAAGGCAAAGGAAGAAAGGGGGGGGGGGGAGAAAGAGAGAAGGATGAAACCAAGTAGTGAAAGAAGGAAGAAAAAGAGGTAGAGAAGGAAGAAAGGAGAGAAAGGGGGAGAAAAAGGGGGAAGGAATAGGTAGGTACCTCTCTTTCATAATAGTCCAGATATCTACCTCAACTTTGATAAGTTTTACTATAGGCCACAGCAACGCGTGGCAGGGCACAGCTAGTAAACATTATATAAAAAAACAAAGTATGAATCATTTCTGTGTCAAGGTAGGACAAAGAAAAAGTGAACCAAAAAGAAATCCCCACTTAAGGAAAAATAAGACCAAACAAATTTTCACTCAATATTATCAGTTCCTGAGTTTCAATGTCCTGACGTAAATGAAACATATCAACAAATGTACTATTGCAGCAAGAATTCATTTAATTTTAATAGCCTGTAACAGGATAAGCAACTAATACTGTACCTTTCCAGATGATGGAGGAGAAGGACTAGCACAGGGGCTGGGGTAACTACTGCTATCAGCAGATTTCACAGATGATGAAATCTGTGAAATCTGCTGGTCGGACCTGTCCTCTGTACTTCGTTTAGGATGTAGGACGCCTCTCTCTTTGTATTTCAATGGCTGGTGAAATGCTGGAGATGCAGACTTCATGAGGACTCTAGAAGTTGAAAGCAAAACATCGTGTTGAATGAATTGTGTTAGTAGCTAAAAATGAGTAGAAAGTTTTTTTTAACTTTCCAGAAAATGACATTATAGGGTTAAAGTGGTGCTTCACATTCATAGGCTGGTGCCTACTTTACATACGACGTAGGTAGACGATTTGCAATGAAACAAGACTAAGGTAGTGCTTCCCAGACTTTTTTGGTCATGGAACCATTCAGAAGACATTTTTTCACATGGAACTCTAACTCTGTCATTAAGTATTGTGAACCCCCAGTTTTTCCTTCTACTCTATTGCATATGTGTTTTGTATAAGGCAGGTTTAGAAATAAAAATATTCAAATTTCAGTTTTAAAGCAGAGATACATTGAATTTCAATAAGATCATCATACTCTGGCATAGAATTTTAATTTTTAATTTATTATTATTATTATTATTTTGCAGAACCTCTATGATGCTTTCCACAGAACCCTGCTTGGGAACCACTGGACTAAGGAACAAAATAAGCAGCGCACCTTGGTTACAATGTAAAGTGTGCAGAAGAAAAGGATAAATAAAAGTTGTTTGAGGGATGTTTCATGATAATAAATCTTTTCCAACAGACCATGTAAGAAAGTCATTTTATGATTCTATGGAAGTGAGTTGTGATGTACTGCAACACCCTTACACCCTTCCACTTATTACAAAAAAAAACCACAATTCTTCTCATCTTTATTTTGTTAAACTGTTCTTGTAAAAAGCTTTGGAACTGCAACATTACCTTAATACTGTATTATTCTGCTCTTTGTTTATATCATAACTTAAAGCTGATTTGGGGGGATTTCTGAAAGAGAAAATGGCTAAATAACTTCAAAATGTTTTGAAAAATAACTTACAAGCATATTATGACTAACTTCATATTACCAAGCTGTTCTGATCATTCATTTATTTCCTTTATGCTTATGACTTCTTGAACTAACTGTGGGAATATGGTGATGATGTTGATACCTTTTGTGGTTATTGTTAATTACTTTGCTATTCAACACTTCTATGACAACTAAAGGAAAGTTTTCCTCTTGATATTAAGTCTAGTGTCTGACTCGGGGGGGGGGGATGGTGCTCATACCCATTTCTAAGCTGAAGAGCCAGCATTTTCCATAGACACTTCCTAGGTCATGTGGCCAGCATGACTGCAAGGAGCACCATTACCTTCCCGCATAAGTGGTATGTATTGATCTAATCATGTTTACATGTGAGAAGCTGGACCTAACAGCAGAAGTTCACCCCGCTCCCCAGATTTGAACCGTCAACCTTTTGGTCAGCAAATTCAGCAGCTCTATAGTTTAACCCGCTGTGCCCCAGGGGATCCATATGACAACCAGTCTATGTTTATTTAAATATGTCTTGAATATGTTCCAGTGATATCAGATTTACTACTTAATTACATTGATAATATGCAATCTTTTAACAGTATCTCAGTCGATTACATATAATTACAAGTTTTATGTGACTTCTAACAGAGGTTATTAATGCCTATGCTTGTTTTGAACTACTGTTTCACCCAAGCTAGAAATATAGTTGAGAAGCTCACAAAAAAGAAAATACAATGTGTTTCAACTACTCCCAGCTTTTTCTAACATACTTCAATAGTGCCGTATTATAAATAACAGAAAATCTCATCTTCTAAATTCAAAAGAAAATCAGGCAGCAGAAAAATCTTACTTCTCCTTTCTATTTATTTCTGTTGCTAAGTCATTACCACAGTTTATATGTACACACTGTGATGCTGTAGTTATGACTGAACCTCCTTATGCAAGTCAGTCCATGCTTTAAAGCTACAGGAGAGGACTTTCTCTCTATCCCACCACTTTCCAAGGAAGGTCCAGCTGCCTCCCTTCTGCTCTTTTGTTGTCAGCAGGTGAAGATGTATTTATTCAGGAATTTTAATTATGGAGCACTAGTGTAGAGTGGTGTAGTGTACTTTTACTGGAAATTATATTTTAAACACATTTTAATGTTTTCAACAAGTCTGAATTAGTTTTTTAAAATTATTTCTCTAACTGTTCTAAAATAATTGTAACTATTTTTTTGTATTTATTGTAAGAAACTTTAAATCACATCTTGAATAAAAGAAAAGGCATGTGAAAAGGAAAAGGCGTCTTTCTGAATGGCAAATGAATCAAGCACAGATAAGACCAGACCCGCTGCTTCAGTAACCACTGGTTCTGAGAATAAAGGCATATCTGTATCTATAGTTTGCTACAGTAAATCTTTTGAAAAACACAAGTGGAATTCCCACAGTTCCCAAGATTACATTGGATTATAACACCCAATAAATCTAAGCCAACACTCGCAAGAATTAAAAGTGCAGAAAATTGTAATTCGATAACTACAAGGTTTTACCATTCATACTTTTTAAAAAATGCAAATTCATGAAAAAATCATGATTCTGGGTTTTAATAGCCCACTGGATTAAGATCCATGCTGGCAGCCCTCTTCATTACACACAAAGGTTCTGAGGACAGAATCAGGTTGCAAGTCATTCTAGGTCAGGATACCAACCTCTCAGAATTAAAAGACTCATCAGCAAACTCTGCTTCTGCAGGAGTTTTCCGGCTAGTGTTTGATCTCCATGAAGATGCTAAGGGAAGTTCTTCAGAGGACATTGGCCTTGGTCTCTGCCCAATTCCCGACGGCTGTTGTAGACCTGCGGACTGTTCTTCAGTGCTCAGCACTGCAATGATGGCTCTTATTGTGGCCTCATCCACTTGAGACCAGGGCTTTGAAGGCGCTCTCATCCGTCGCAGGAATAAACTGTGCCATTTCTGCCTCAGCTGAAGGAGAAGGCTAGCTGCCTGCAAAATGAAGGCAGTTTCTATTCTAAAACACATGTGCCACAAAGGTCTTTTTATGGGCCAAAAAGCCAGACACAAGTAACTACATAAACTGATATCCTGTTGAGTAATTATGACTACATAAGCTAGTTCAGTATCCACATTTATGATCATGGTACTATTCCCATAATCAAAACACACACACAACCTATTTTAATAGCCAGACACCAAACCAAATGATAGAGGTCTATTTAGATGGTGACAGAGGACCAGCAAGATGTTTCCAGATACCTCCCACCAATGATTTCCAGTTTGATAGTCAGATCTCATGTTGAAGCACCTTGTTTCCCTGGTTGATCGCTGATGAGAGACTACTGGGGGGCAGAGGGAGAGTTATTTTTGGTTTGGGTTTTATTGTGTGTGTGTGTGTGTGTGTGTAAAAAGGAAAGGAGGTCTATTCTGTTGGCAAACATGTTCAGCAAGGTGTTTCTTGCACTCCCGCTCCCTTCTCTTTAGGTTATAAAGTCCTATCTCTTTGAACCTTTCCCTCACTGTCATCTCCTCAATTTCCTATTTAAAACCCCTGCTGTGCTACTGTTTTCACTGGCAGAGAATTTCAACTCCTCTAATTCCCCCTCCCTTTTGTCTTAACCATTTTTGGCTTTCTTAGTAAAATTCCATTATCTTCAGTACAGCCCTCTAAAATCTCTTGGACAGCTAATGCAGCCTACTAGTTTTCCACTCCTGTACTAAAACAATCCTTGAAACCAATACTTATCCTTTAAAAAAATATTAATAATTATTAGTAACTAGCTGCTCACCTCTGGATCTAGTTTGAAATTGAGCCATTCATCCAGTTTCAGTGCAGCCAAGTTAGCAGTTGTTCTATCTTCCATTTCACTGTCACTGCTGTCATTGGGAGCACCATCAACTATAACAAATATTCTATATATTAGCACTACATTACAATGGAGAATTTACATCTGAGGTGGGCACAGTGTCTTCAAGTCACTATCTGTGTTGGTGGGGAATACACTTCCCGAGCATAAAATAAACCAGGGTGGCTACCAAACTTCCCAGAGCTCTCCCCAAGGTTCTGAGAAGGCGAGGTGGGGCAATTTTTTACAAGGCTTTTTTTAGGGCTAGAGAATTGTTGGAGCGATGAGGTCACCAAGGTTGGTGCTATTGCAAAATAAATGGTACATACAAATCAGCAGTGGCCTATGCTGACAGTGGGGAAAATGCCATGTTTCATTGGAGGGCACCTGAATTTTGCTAGGAATGCCCAGACAAGAACAACCTCTCTTTCTATTTTATGCAATTTTATTCTGCCTTGTTTTCTGGTTCTAGGTGTTTTAGTGGAACACTTAGTACAGCACATTTACATGCATGCACACACACACAATTTTGTGTCCATTTTTATACCACTGGAATTCTCATCTGGGTTAAAACACAATTCAAGAATTAAAGCAATGAAAAGGGTGTACCACATTGCTGGACAATTTACACTTTTTTGTTTTTTTTCCATTAATATTTTTATGGTTATTATTATCAGATGCCTATTATTATATTATAATTATAGTAGATTATGTTATTAATAATGTCAGATGTCTTCCATGGAAAAAACTATACTATGCAAAACAGCTTTCAAATTTCAAAATATTGCAGAGATCCAAATCTAGCAACACCAGCAAGAGAAATTATGGAAGCTGTGGTTAATGGAAAGTAGAAGGAAAGGGAAGTGAAAAAGAAAGCATCCATTTCCTTCCCATTTAAACAAAAAACATATTTAGGTTTAATTTAAGTAATACATAGAAAATACTCTCCAACACTGGATGACACATTAATCCTAGATTTCCTCTATAAAGAACATGTATATATTACAGACAGAACAATTCTTATACCAACACTATACCTCTGAAGGATGAAGGCTCTTGTAAAGCATTGCTTGGCAACCTAGCCGATCCACAGAAGAGTGCCACAGTGACTGGAGTTACAACTGAACAGCACCTGATATTGGCAATTCGGTGAGCTCTTGTCATTTCATCATATATAAGCCAGTCAGTAGGGAGTGCTTGAATAGCTGCCACTTGACCATTAGCTGGAGGAATCTGTTAGCAGCAACACAGGGAGGCGGTTTAGCAGGGTTTCTTCTTTCATCACAATAAATAGGGCAATTTAAAATATCAGGTTTGAAATAAATATTCTCACTTATTTGCAGAATACAGACTAAAAGCACCCCATGCTGTAAATTATACGTAAGTAGCTGGGAGTTCATTATTGCCTCAGTGGGAAACTACTGAAGCACAGGATAACAAACCAGCCAGCATAGTCAAATCATGGCCACCAAAATAAACAAAAGTTTAGTGGATAACAGATGTCACCCAGCTATCTATCTATCTATCTAGAGAGAGAGAGAGAGAGAGCGCTAGTGCAGTGAGTACACCCCTCTGTTGTATTGTGAAGGGCAAAACATGCATAGTTCATGAAAAGAGGTATCTAGTGAGACCTTTTATGAAGGACTATTTCAACCAAAGATCTCAGCACACAGAATATAGACTCACTTGAATCAAAACTGTTCATATGGCAAATTAGTTTCCACATTGAATTTTTCTTTGGTTTGTGAAATTATGAAGATCATGACAGAGACAAATATACATGATTTGTGAAGTGTGCTACCCACTGCCTAGATATTTTCCTCCTAAATTAAATAGGTTCATCTTAAATTCAAATGATTATGTACGAGACAATCTACACAACATTACAGATTTTTTAAAATATCAAGCAAAGATGAAGGAACACTTAGCGCTGAATTCAATGTTAGTTCAAACTAGAGTAGACCCACTGTAATTAATGGGATGTATATAAGTAATAATTAATAACTCCCACATATTCCTATTCTAAGAATGTATTCAGCAGGAATATTGTATAACCTCTACAGAAAAAAATTCTGAGCTAAAATTAGGAAACTGCTGTGAAAAATACAATTCAACCAGTTCTCTTTCTTTTCATGATTGAGAACATTTTATTAACAGCACGGCATTTTTTCAAATTATTTAGTATTATATATATACACGCAGGCATGAGGGTGGATCAAAAAGTTTTGCCTCCTGTGTCCTAAAAATGTTATAGATGAACATATGACAGTGGAATTTTCTATAGATCAGAGCCTGAACTATTTTCTACTCAAAACTACCATTCAACATAGTCACCATCAATTTGCACACATTTGCGCCATTGTTTCACCCAGGCATCAAAACCATTTTGGAAAAATTCAGGGTTTTGCTTCATGACCCATGATTTTAAAGCTGTTTTAATGATATTCAAGTCACTGAATCTGAAACCAGGTAATCTGTCTTTTCAGAGGATCTCTGGCTTCTCTGTGTAGTCTGATAGTGACTATCTGTGTGTGTGTGTGTGTGTGAGAGAGAGAGAGAGAGAGAGAGAGAGAGAGAGAGAGAGAGAAGCAGTTCCTCCTTTCTACAAGTCCAGCCTGCCACTTTATTTTATTATCATCTTACCTTTTTATACTGTGGTTGGCTAAGAACTGAGGTAGGATGAAATCTGACTTTTTTCTCTTTTGGTCCAGTCAGTACAGTGTTCTCTCTATCAACATGAACTATATTCGGATACATTCCAGCTACTAAGGCACCTTTAACCACAGCCCAGTTTTCTGAATTTGTGTTGACATCCCTTATATCACCACCACCTCTGGCTCTAACAAATCCTGTAAGAAAGTAATGTATATTCTGTTAGTTGTTTCAAGAAATAATTTCCACTTGTTCTTCTTTTTAATACATATTTATTAATGATCTTTAGAATTCATATTTGTTGTTAACACAAATTAAAACAGGCAAATAAAAATAAATTTTCATTTCAGATACAATTGCTCAGTGTTACTTAAATGCAGGTCGTGGGAAACTACAACCCCCATAAGTCCTGATTACTTGGTGTGCTGGCTGGGTCTGATGGAAATTGTAATCCAACTTACCTGTTACAGCTTGTCTATCTTTCGGTAGCATCTCAGCATCCACATACAATATGCTAATTTGACTGTAAAGTCAAAGTGAAGGAACACAATTCAAGTTGCAAAATGGGGATTCTTCATGATTCCCGTTACATTCTGTAAATAACTCAGGACATGCATACATTTGCAAAGTTTCACCTTTCATTCAAGTATCTGAACTTGGGTGGGAGAATCTCCTTAAGTATCTCATTTGATTTCTTTGTGACTTGTTTATGTGCCTGACCTAAACTCAGAATATTATCTCACTTCCGATTTACTATGTTCCTTAGTATCTCATAGTCATGATGGATTTTTTCGTGTTAGAAGTGACTTGAGAAACTGCAAGTTGCTTCTGGTGTGAGATAATTGGCCAGGACATCCAGATGTTTTGATGTTTTACCATCCTTCTGGGAGGCTTATCTCATGTCCCTACAAGGGGAGCTGGAGCTGACAGAGAGAGCTCAATCTGCTCTCTCCAGATTTGAACTGCTGACCTCTCGGTCAGCAATCCTGCCGGCACAAGGTTTTAACCCATTGTGCCAACCTGCTTAAAATAGTATGTGAATTTAAGTGCAATAATCTAGTGTTTAGTACAGTTTAGTACAATGATCTAGTGTTCAAAGAATCTGCTGGTAGAAGGAAACTTTCAGGTTAATAAAACATATGTATATGTATCTACCTGATGCTCTGAGTTGTCCAAGTAGCTGTGTTCTCATTCCTATGATAATCTCCATTGTTGCCTGAGATAGGAAATTCTTCTCACAAAAAGCTCTTTCCCAACCATCACTTCGTGCCTTCTGCCATGCCTGCCAAACAAGTTAATTGATCTTTGAATGTCATTAATTTTTATTGTCTCCAATGGAACTTTTATAAAGAAGTATTTTTAAAGCTTAAACTTTAGTAAAGGAAGTCTTGATTTCTATGTTAGGAAGATTTAAGCAATACATTTACCCAACTCTCATTTTCTTAGGCCGGAAATAACATTGCCATTTAGTATAGTTTGAACTATGTTACATGCTTAGCAGCAAATCAAGTCTAATCTGGGTACAACTCATACTCTGGAGCCTTCCATTTGACATGCTGCTGGACTGAGGTAGACAGTGCCTCAGAGGAAACTGTAAGGAGCTGGAGAAATGGAATCAGGGAATCTGTAATAATTTGAGTTCTAGTGGCAGAAAAAGAAACATCAAGTGACAGATATGCTAAAATGCTCTTCAACCAATGAAAATGAAGGCACCATATCTGGGAAATGCCCAGTTCTAGTAAGCTTGTCTGCACTGAGCCATAAATATCAAGAGTGAAAGGATCAGTTCAGTTCGGACAGCCCTTTTCTCGCAACATGTTTCCCAACTAACTTACTTTTATAATAACATGCCCATTCTCAACTGGTCAATGAAAATATGCGAAACTAGGCCATAATATACCATGTGTTGTATTGCAGATAGCCCTTCTAGTTTAACGAACAGAAAGGCTATCTACAATACAGCACTTGCACATTTTCAAACCTCGCCAGCATCAACCAAGCTTTTAAAGACAAAAAGGTTTGCATTGATAGGAAAGAACAAAAAGAGAGAAGAGCTACTAGAATGCTTCATGTAATATAATGTGTAACTTCTCTAGAGTATCAATACCTGAAAAGCCCGGAGAAGGGCCATATGGTCACTAAATGTTCCTGCAGTGAATCGTTTTCTGCATAGCATGGCTGCCCGTTTCTGAGACGCCTGCGTTGGTAGCACAAATGGATCACGATAGGCAAGAGTGCATGCAATGGTCAGAATAGGATCCAGGCACTTGAGGACAACAGCACATAACACCATTTTACCAAGATGAGGTTCTACTGGTAGATCAGCCAGATGATAGCCAAGTTCTGTCAGATCTTCCCAGGTATCCATAGCATCTATTGTCTATTTTTAAAAAATAGTAATAATGTTGAAGATATAAAGAAATGAACACTCCTAACAACAACAACTGTATTTCTTACCCGCCTCTCCTTGTGGCTCGAGGCAGTTTACAACATAATTAAAACACATAATTATTGTAAAGATTCCATAAATACACATATTAAAATGTTTTTATAAAGATACATATTAAAGCGTATTTCTATTAATACATATTAAAATACACAGAACAAATATTAAAACATAGGACACAAGTTTACAATTCAGGATTAAATGTACTAGGGAACAGCAGAATTCTAAGCTTGGACTACTTCAGCATTTTCTCCGATTGTAATGAGTTATTTTACTATGTGATGGAAATATTCACAATCAGTAAAATATAACATAATCAGAAGTTCTCTGATGGTTTACTGATCTAACAAACAGCCAATCGTTTTTGTGTAGGCTTAGAGCCAAAGTAACTGGACACATACTATTAAAACCAGGAAAGCTATTTCCATAATTTTTTTAACAAAATCGGTAAGCAAATGTTATGTATTGAAATTTACTGCACCACTTCGAATAAGCTTCCAGTTAGATGCAGTGAAAACTAATAACAATACAGGGAAACAAGTGGTTTACTCACCTTAAGCATCTGCACAGCATTTCTCACAATTAAAGCAGGTGGTGGTTCTGGAGCTTTCATTAAAAAGTCAGCAATTGGACAATTGATGGGAGCCAGCAATTTTGTATGCAAACACAGTTCCTAGAAATTAAAGACTCTCTTTTTAGAATTCCAAAAATACAACATAATTTCCTAAGATTAAGAAGTACATTAATAGTGGAATGCTATGGCCCTATCTACAGTGACCCTTTAATACATTTTCAAACCAGTAATGAAGAAAGTGGTTTGACTGTGCAGATGATTATACAGGAGATCCTGGAACCAATTTGAGACCAGGTGGTGAAAACACATACCACAAAGAACTGGTGCACATTAAGGGCTTTCTTTTGCATGCTTTTGGGAGAGTTTGTTGTCTAGCCGCCACATTGTGAAGCTAGCTTTGAATGGCAGTAAACGATTGGTGTAGATGGGGCCTATGTCTAAGAAACAAATATTTGGTTCAGTGGGGCTTACTTTCAGATAAGGAAATACAGAACTGCGGTGTTAAGGAATTACATACAGTTGGATCTACATTGACTTCATGTAAACAGAAGGACTTATTCCATCAATTGAGAGGTTCAGACACATAGGGGAATGGAGGAAAGGATATTCTTGGAGGAGTAAATCCACTATGACTGGATATAACCCCCACATGCCAAGGACACAAGCCAGGAGCTCACATTTTTCTTCAGTTACAACTGGTAGGTCCCTTCCCTTGTCCTGTCCTACTTCATCAAGCCCTCCTCTCCCTGCAGACCTCTATATCCCATGGAAATCTGTTCAAGAAATCTCTGGACCCACCAGAACAGTGAGAATGGCAACTGACATTGAAATCACCTCATCCTGCCAATGGGGGCATTTTGATCAGAACTCTGTTCAGACGTGAAAAGAACCAAGTTTTAATACCAAACACTTTTTTCAGAATTCAGGGAATCCAACAAGACAAGGGTGGGCAAGTTTTTGGATGCTGGGGGACACTACAGTCAAATGTTGCAACCCCACAGGGGACTATATATCTACATTGCACCATGCCTTTGCTGCCAGAATTTGATGGCATGTTTGCAGCAGCAATGCAAAAACAGCACCATATTTGCTTTAAAATAAGGCATATATGGATAACACATCTTGTTTTGAAGCTGATTATTTGCACTGCCTGAAGGACTAACTGGCTTTTTAGAAAGACGTGTGTGTTCTCTCTCTGCAAACCTCAGCTTAAAGCAAGTTATAATTATGCCAGAGATGCTTTTCTAGCTGTAGCTGACACTTTACGGGTGAACTCTGGTGATGAGGTTTCAAAATTTAAAGGGAATTCAGCACTTCGTTGCTGATGTCATCACCACAGTGGCAATTTTAGCAGCAATAGCAGTGAACTTTGGGGCCCATCTTGCACTTGAACATCAATCTCAGTCTCATCTAAATACTCACAAGACTTTTAGATGTCAAACAGATCCACAAAAAGAATACATGGTGATTCCATGGTCAAATTTATAAACCACTGTCAATTATATAAGCTACAACTATGACCACACATTTGGGAATCAGTGGTTTAAAATGTACAAAAGATAACATTTGAAAGGATACAGAAAAAATCTTAATAAAAAAAAATCCACTACAACATAAAAACTCTATAGGGAAAACAGATTTTTATCTCAATTCCAATAAGAGCACATTATTCAAAATTCAGCCAGATCTTTACCCAAGGAAACATGCACAGAACTGTAGATTAAGATTCAAGTCATTTACTGCACATTTCTGCCTAAGCTACAACAGAAAAAGCAGAACCAAATTTTCTTAACTCTTCTATGGCATAAGATTCCACTGATATTCAGTTATGAAGTTATGTCTGAAGAATAAGGCAAACAATGCCTGTAATGCCAGCATATGTTGCTTTCAACAGCTTCAACTCTAAAAGCAGCATACAAAACTTGGACTGACTTGGGTCAAGAGGATTCCTTTATGCAACATTTTCAAAGTCTTAAACAAACATGCTAGCATTGTTTTAAAGATGGATTACATTCCTCTGAAGCAGTGATTCTCAACCTGTGGGTCCCCAGGTGTTTTGGCCTACAATTCCCAGAAATCTCACCGGTTTACCAGCTGTTAGGATATCTGGGAGTTGAAGGCCAAAACATCTGGGGACTCACAGTTGAGAGCTATAAAGATATACGCTCGAATGGCCGTCTGGGCAGGGGGTCAAGGAGATCCCACCGCTGCCACCAAATTATAAAGACTCCTTAATGCTATTTGGGCAGGGGGTCAAGCAAACCCACCACTGCCCCACCAATTATAATGACCAGGCAGATGGCAATGCGATCATTCCACCATCTACCCCTAATCAGAAAGGCAGTCTTTATGGCCAAACAATATCACTGGACAGGGGGCAAACAGATCCCAACACTGTCCCTCCTTAAATAAGGAATTCACACCACTTTGGCACTTATAGCGTCTGAGGGGATGTCTCTTTATTAAAACCTTCGCTGCCACCATAAACCAAATAATCAGGAACCCTCTAGCTATTTAGAATGTTAAAAGGCTTTTTAAAACACTTCTAGGACCACCAAATACTGTCTCTTTTAAAAGAGCTTCTTTGAGGGAAAACAGGTGAGGTTGATTTCAAAAGAAAAGGGACTGAATCTACAAATGGCACATGACTCAGGCTTAAGTTTTAAAAATAACAAGAAAGAGTTTATTGAATACAAGTTACGGAATAAAAGTGAATGCAGTTGTAGAGGCTTGGCTGTTACAATTAAAGTGTTCTTGGTTCTTAGAAGCGTATCGGTTGCATGAGAGAATGGTTCTATTCTTTGTTACAATTCCTAACACAAAACCCAGCTATTTTCTTTTCTAAAATAGCTGTAACCAGTCTGCCACAGCCTGCTTTGCTGTGCAAACTACAGGCAAGCTGCCTATTTCCTAACAGAGACTCCTAAAACTCTAATCCTACTCTAACATCACCCAGAACTGAACTGAACTGCCAAAATAAGCTCCTCTCTTTTTCCCTCCAACTGTCTAACTCCGCCCCCCTTTTCCAAACCAATCCTGGCTGTTGCTGGGCTGGCTCAGGCCTAGGCCACTCCCCCTCTCTGAACTGGAGCTTCCCTAAACTAAGATGGCTCCTGCAGCTCTCTGCCAGGCCTTCCAAGCTGAAACTACCTAGCCTGTCTCTTCCTAGGCCCTGCCACCCCCCGCTGGCAAGGTAAGGGATCTTCACAAGAGCCACTGCTCTGAAGGCTTTCCAGGAATGCAATTCATCTTTTAAAAAGGCATACACTTCTTGCATGCCTTGGTTATTGGGGAAAATTCAACAGGGAGTAAAATGTGTATAAAAAAATGGGGACATGAATCCCATTTGTATTCCAATTAATCATACATTCCTCATACATCTATATTTACCCACACTGAAAAGCATTATGAATTTTATTGTATTTTGTAATTACACATATTTTCTCAGACAATATCTCAATTCAGACATCAATAAATATGCCTGCTTCAACCGATATGCCCCAAATGTGTTAGGATTATAGTTCCCTTCATTCTCTGTCAGTCAGTGGCAGTAGGAAAATGCACTAAAATTACACTTAAAGATGCATAATACAGTTTGGCAACATATTTGTCCAAATCACTGATACAGGCATTGTTCTGCCTCCAGATTCAATGGCATGATATATACAGAGTTGAACATATGAACAAGGATACTGTAAATAAAACCAGGCAAACAGCTTGAAACTCTGATTCGGTCTGATAACTAAGCTGAATCACTTTTATGAAGATTTCCATGAAACAGAGAAAGACTACTGACCTGTAGGGGCATTCTCAGAAGTTCTGGGGTCTGAAATTCCAGCATATTTTGAAATCTTAGTCTACTGAAAAGTCGGAAACAAATTCCAGGCCGACAACGTCCTGCCCTTGGAAACAAAGTATTAGTTAAGATGAATCATCCATAGAAAAGTGGAATTTAAACAAACTTATTAAATGAGTGTGTATACTAATTTATAGTACGACAAAAAACTAAAAAACTTTGTAAATTTACAGCAAAGTCGATGCAGTGGAAAAAACCAGGAACTACAACCATTAAAGAGATTTTTCAATCAATTGCCTAAAATGCTTTTAAATACATTTCGAATACATTTCATAACTTACTTATATGGGAAAATAAGTTTTCTGTTATTTCTATCTCCTCTCAAGAAGCAAAGCATTAGATTTTTTATAGAAACCATTGTCTTTAGCCTCATTGTAAGAAAAAAATATTCACAAAGTTTTGGCATTACCTGCCCTTTCTTTGAATGGCACTAGCTTTAGAAATCCATACCATCTTTAGCATAGTTACACAGTTCAATGCATCAAAGGATTTCTAAAATGATAAAAAGAATGTCTGTGTTGTGAGTTAAATTTAGAATACCAAGGTTAAGATAATACTTGCATTTATTAAGTGATCTAAATTACCTAAATTACCAAATGTTTCATGCAAAGTGATTTTGCTATATGTTATTTACTCAGTTTAAAAAGCACACTTTGCTGACGCCACAAAAAATTTAATCTGCAACTATACAGCATATCATTTTATAATTTCAGTTTAACATGCATGTTGAAAATAACAAACCTCTTTCATTTTTCCAGAATCAATCACAAAGACAACATCGTTAACTGTGATGCTGGTTTCTGCAATATTTGTAGAAAGTATCTGAAACAACAAAAATATTAGGGTTGTAACAACAGCTGATGTGCCATGGTTAGAATTTACAAACAGTTGAACAGTTTTTCTTGATACTTGCTATTTTGCGGATGCCTGGAGGTGAGGTCTTCAGAACTTTTTTCTGATCAGATGTCTGCATATTTGAATGTAACATAAAAACCTGAAATCTAGTTGCAAAGAATTACAAGTGAAATTAAATATGGAACAATTCTGCAAAAGTACAACAAAAGTCAAAATGGGGAAAAAATGCAGACTCTTCACCTGTGAACATTGTCAGCAAACCTCTTGTCATCAAATAGTATACGATCCCGTAAGCCAACAATTTCATCATATCCAGGAAGGAAAATTAAAACTGCTCCTTTAAGAAGAAGAAAAACCCACCAAAATTAAAGGAAGCATAAATCAGAAAAAGTTATTATTAGTATCTGTGCTTTTATTATGAGTTAGTTAAGACTGGTTTTAGATGCGACAGTCTTACTCCCATATATATTAGTATAAATGTTTATCTTTCTGCATTTACATAGCCCTGTACATAAAATCCACCTACTGCAGAAATAGTGTCCCAATTAATTGTACTAGAAGAACACAATACTGTACTAGTCCTGCTGAAGAAGTTTAAAAGCTCAGCTTAGTCCTACATTTTAAGTCTAGCAAGCTCACAAGTGCGACATGGGGGCTTCCTAAACATTCTGTATGCAGTGGAACAAGATATTCTCCAGGAAACAATTCTGAAAGCTGAGTATAAATACAAATTATTTAACTTTTAATTAGTTGCTTTAATGTATGCTATTTTATTTAGTTTCAAATACAGGTTTCGTTTGTTTTCACTGTTTCACTGTAAATTGTTTTGAGGTGTTTGTAAAAATACTACAGTATAAATATACTTTGAAGCAATAAGTACTGTACATGTATTTACCAGCTTCACAGCTATGACAGATATTGTACAGTAGATGCATGATCAGGTCTAGATCCACCTTTTCATCATCAAAACTATGGTGATAAGCCTTCAGGAGTTCTTGATCTTCAGCACTAAGTTCACTGGCATTAGCATGGACCAAGGAACTCTCATCTAGATTGCCAGACTCCAGTGAAGCACTGAAATGTGTAACACAGCGTTTATGAGAACATGACAATACCTTTCCTATATGGAAAAAGGGTTGCATAAATACACTTCCTGAAGTGCTGAATTTGAACACCAGATACTGAAACTCTTTTGATCCAGTCCACACATATTAAATTTACAGGGCTACAACAATTAAAACTCATTTTAATATTGTTGCGATTTCTAATGCATTTTGGATGCTGAATTCATAAATTCATAAAATACGTACAATAAAAATGTTGTACCACAAAGTTCTTTCATAATTTTTGATATCTTTATCACCTCAGTTGTTACTCAGTTTTGATGAAGTGCAGACACTGATGTTCCAGTGCGATTTCTTTTAGTGTTTTTGGATGGATTTGTGTGTTTTGTATCTTTGAATTAAACTGTTTTGAAAGTTTATTAGAAGACTTTGGCCTCTTTCTGGGTACTCTTTACTTCTCAAAGAAATCTTAGTCACATAATAAAAAAATAAAAGCATCAATGCAAGTTGTGGAAAAAATGGATGTGATGGAGCATATCTGAGGTTCTTTCTGAATTCAGAATGCCAAATTCCTATAATGTTAAAAGGCGATGAAATGTAGTTTCTGGAATGAAAATAAATATAGGTTGCTTATCTGTAAACATAGTTTCCCGAGTGGTCACCTGTGAATTTGCACATATGGTACAGCGCACGAATGTACCATATGTGCAAATCACAGTGACCACGAGGGGAAACTTGGATCTACTTGCTAAAGAACACTGAAGAATTATACCAAACATTATATGCCTTCAAATTATGCCAAAACACATGCCTCAATTTTACATTTAAAGTTTATCATTAAATTTCTGCACTAAGATTGATTTCCAAATCCTAGGAAAATCATATTTAATTAATGTTTGCTCTCAAGTGCAGGAAATTATGGCACAGACAGGCTTCATTGTTTACTTCAGTTATGGGAGCAGATCCCTGTCTATAGTTTAGTACATTTCAGAATTAAGAAAAAATATTACCAGTAGGATTCCAGAAGGTCAACCACTTCTGTCTGTCCAAAATGTTTAGCCCACTCCAGTGCTGTCCTGTAATAATTGTAATAACAGATAAACAAGCATTTTCTTTAAGCACAATCATGGCACCAAAAAAAACTTTTTGACTATTATTTCAGTGCAACATTTCTAATATTCATGTATTGATTTTTAAAAATACAATACTCATTTGCTCTACCATTTATATAACAATATGGAACATAGACATTTTAAAAAATGTGAAACTGGATGCAGCTCTCAGTGAGTCCCAAGGAATGATAAAATGGCCTGTTTGCCCACCATGCATCAAACCGTGATTCAGTGTCATATGAACCAGCCTACAAACTGGGTTGGAAGATGCTGTCCATAACACTTACGTAATGTTATTTTTCTTCCTCTACAAGTGTTTTCAAAATCACAGACCAGTTCTGTGCAAGTAACATTTGAGCTCTGTAACACCAGCTTTACTAAATCAGATGCCTTCCAGTTGTTTTGGACTATGACACCCTTTATCTAATAACCCATTATGTTTCCTGAGACAGGTAGAAAGAGGAGGGCACCATGTCGTGGAAAGATGAGTTTGCCTCTGTACGAAACTGATAACTTTCTGTCTAAATGTTAACACACTCATAGTTGTTTGATTGAATGTAGATTCTTTACCTTACAAACCACCTCTGACAGTCAAGCCAATAGGATCTGAAGCAATTAAGCTGAGGTGGAAAATGTGCAATGATCATTGATTTTAAAAAAATGAGTTTTTACAAATTACCCCCAAATGTACAAAATACTTCCGTAACCCATAACCAATACACTGTTACTCCTCTTTCTTCCATGCCTTATTCTAGTTTTTTTTTAATTAACTTGCAGACATTCTTGTGAAGGTATTTAATATGTATTTTATATCAAAGTTAGTATTTGTGAACTTCTAAAAAATTCATACTACAAATTAAGAATGAACAGGGGAAACTGTCAATTACCACATCCAATTTTCATCTCTCAGCCAGTCTCTCTTTCGCTCTCTTTCATGCACACAGAAATCAATGTCAAGAAGTTGCTGTGTACTTATTTTACCAGCCATTGGATGATTTGATGTGAACATTTGCTCCCATACCAATCAACTGTTCAACTTGGCTTAAGAAACCTCTTCCAGAAGCTATCATTAGAGTTGTTGCACTTGTCTCGCTGTGCCTGTAATCGACTAGGAAAGGGGAAGGGAGGAAATAAAGCTCAGTCTGTGTTTTCTTTCTTTTTTTAAAAAAACTGTCCCAATTATTTTAACTAAGCTTTCAGCTAAAAAATCTTAGTTTCACTGAGCTTTAAAGGACATTTTAAATGAGACTGTTATTCTTACTCTGCTTGCAATCCTATATGTGCTTACCTAAGACCTAGTCCTAAGTAAATATGCATATGACATCCAAACAAATATGAACATGCCCTTAGCAAATAGAAACACTCTAAAAGTACTATGATTCATAAAACCATAATGCTCTTATAAAAGCTAAATTCACAGAACAAAAACCTGCAAAAATACTTTTAAAATTCTGGAAGTCTAAATGTTTATGAAATTAACTAGTCTTTTCAGTCAGATTACACTAGTATTCATGGTCAAGGGATTGAGGTGCACCATTCAGTAAGGAGTTCCCAGTGTGAACTTACCACTGACATTTTCAGTTAAAATAAGATGGAAGACTTGTGCAAAGGCATTAATGTCTTTATGTAGCCAGATATCGGAAAGACAAGCATCCATTTCTTTAATTAGCCAAGGTTCGAGACAATTGACATCTTTTTCTGCCTATAAATAAGAATATATTTTAAAATCACTTTCTAAAACTGAAAGCTATTAAAATTCAAATTGAAAGCTATTCTATTCTAATTATTTTAAAAATTGCTTTTCAGAAACTGGTGGGATATTTCAAGATTGTAAAAAAATTTAGTGATGCCATTTTCCATAACATACCATTTATTCATGAATTTTTGCAAAACATACTGAAGAGTCATATGTGTAACAGAACATCTCGCTGTTGCTTTACATTTCTATTCTAAACAGAAGCCCCTTGTCCAAGTTTACGTTGCCAAAATAAAAGGTGCTGTCCATAACACTTATGTAATGCTATTTTTCTTCCTCCACTGTAAAACAGAACTGTAAAACTTTGAATTAGCTACTTTTAAAAAGTACAGTTAGCACATGTGGTGCAAATGCCAGAAATCATATGAACCTAAGAGGTAAAATGATAGTTTGGCAAGTTTTGATTTTGTTTTAAAAGGAGACGGTGACATTTAAAAAGATGGAAGGATCTAAATCCACAGCATCTATTTAAAATTGAGAAAGGGTCAAAGTTTGGTGAAAAACAGAACCCAATGATAATTTGGAGCTTTCTAGACCCACGGGAGTGCTGATAATAGGTTATATTAGTTCAACTTCATTAACAAGTAGTATCAACTTCAAATATTGGAAGATCAGAAGTGAGCATACCAACTGACTGAAAACTGTGTCACCGCCATCATCCAAGAGATCGTATTCTTCAGCTACATTTGGAACTGCCCTCTGTCTCTGCAGTTCTGGCTTGCTGTTGTCTTGTGCAGAATACCATTCAGTCAGAGTTGTCTGTTGCTTCTCCTCTAGATAACATAGTTCAGTTTTTAAGGGGATACAGACTCAAGATTAAAATATATAGTATCCTCTTACTATAATTTCTCAACAACAGAATTTGTTTGCCACATCTGGAAATCAACAGAAGTATCTTCTTTCTGAAATCTTAAATATAGGCACCAACCTCGCTGTTTCTCCTTTTTGTATTTGATCATTTCTTTATTTGTATAGCCTGTGGTTCTCAATAAATCTTCCAGGAACATCTCTTTTACTTCAAATGGTCTTCCCGGTACTGAAAATATAAGATTAGTATAAATATTCATGATGTATTCTATATTACCAATACATTTGCTTCTGGCCAATTCTCTCACACTGAAGCAACTTGCAATTTCTCAAGTCGTTCATAACATGAGAAAAAAACCAATACAATTAAATTTGCAACAAGTATACCATATATATTCCTGTATCAGTCAAAAATGTATGCAAAATATGTGACTCCAAAAACAGGATATGACTTATATTCAGGTCAAAAGAATATCTTTGTGCACTCTACCACCGCTTCTGGCCTTTGTTGAATGCCTGCGCAGGAAAATGGCATTGGCAGCAGCTTTTCGTCACTAAGTTTTATTGGTGGGAATTGCTGAGGAACCACCCTTGGTTGTCTGCAGCTAGACCACTTGTGTCCTTCTCCTCTCGAACTTCTCTGAGGAGGCCAGCAGCCAGTTGCCAATGATAAAGTCTACTGAGTCACTGAGGGGGGAGGGGGAAATTGATCTGAATGGTGAGCAAAGAAACAATAGTATTGCTGAGAAATATTTGGCTCAAGAGGCTGCTGAGATCGCATCTTTTGCCTGTCTTCTCTGGCCACAATCAGCCTGCTCGCTTTTTCAGAGGAGAAGGAGGAAGGAGAGACAAGCGGCTCACAGTAGACAACTGAGGGGTGTGCATGCAAAGATGATCTCAGCAATCTCTTTTTAGCCAAATATCTCTCAGTATCACTGGTGTTTCTTTGCTTACCACCCCCACCGAACACCAGCAACTGATATGTGAGGTTGACTTAAGCACAAATATATACGGTACACGTGCTAGCAGGGAAGACAGAAAATAAATTTCAGGGTTTCTTTTTTACATTCTGGTGTTTCAAATTCCTATTTTTTTAGAAGAACAAAGTGTTTCTCATTTTAACTGAAAGGCTGTCACGTTGGTTAGTTAGTTTCTTTCAGTAACAGTCAGCCCTAATGACTGGGCCTCAAGAGATTCTCATTTTTACATTCTATCCAAAAAATATAATTAAATTCAAAAATTAACTTGATGCCCTATCTTTCTGTGATTGTTCTCAAAGTGCCCAAGCTTAGCAAATAAAATCTGCTAAAGTCTACTATTTCATTAGTATTTTACCACTGGTTTAGCATAACATAAGTTTATAATTAGGTGAGACATCAGGAAATAATGCTTCTGGTACATGGCCATACAGCCCAGAAAACTCGCAGCAACTCAACTGTACAACAATTTGTTACCAAATCTGGAATATAGTACATCGAACTGAGAAAAATACATTCAATTAAATCTAGTAGTCTGACTCTTATTTGCATTTGCACTTACTATATATGACTGGACAGCCTCCAAAATACCTAACGAAGAGATTCACATCCAGGGCAGCACTAGAGAGGATCAGTTTCAAAGATGAGTGTTTCTGTAATGTGTCTCTCAACTTCGTTAATAAGAAGTCACTGAACCGATCCCTCTCATGAACTTCATCCTGCAACATAAGCAGGCCAGGCCTCTTTGTATCAAAACCTCAGCATACTGACATGTCATACAATGCAACTGCTCCATTTAAAATCATAAAATATTTCACTACTGCTGGAATGTTCTTGTTATATTATTTATTGCCACATTTAAATGACTCTTGTACAGAAACTGTACAATTTTCAAATTTTCAACCAGAAGGTTTAATTATATCTCAAAAGTAAAAATACTAAGATATGACCACCAGAAATAATAAATTTAAGCATAAGTCAATAAAAATTATATACAGGGTTAGTCAAAATGAATAGGCCAATAAGAAAATTAATTTTAGACGAATGTATGTTTATTGTAACCAAACTACAGCTACGTAGCGACAGATAAACTATCAAAGTTTTGTCTCACCTTCAGAGATGTTCGATATGGGCGCCCCGTGTGACACGGCAGATGTCCAAGCGATAGTCCAGTTCATTCCACATCCGTTGCAGCACATCCGACGTAATGGCATCGAATGCAGCAACGTCTGGGAAGGTGTTCGTTGAGGTCCTAACCCTAACCCTATCCCTAACCTAACCCTAACCCTAACCCTAACCCTAACCCTAACCCTAACCCTAACCCTTGAAATTCTCGCTGGACCGTAATTACTGACATTGTTTTAGCAAATGTCATCACACAAAACGCCTTCTCTTTGCTTGATTCCGCCATTTTGAAAACAGCGACCCCTAGCGACGCCTAGCGGCATTAACGTACATGTGTGTTGCTCAAAAAAAACTTTGATAGTTTATCTGTCGCTACGTAGCTGTGGTTTGGTTACAGTAAACATACATTCGTCTAAAATTAATTTTCTTATTGGCCTATTCATTTTGACTAACCCTGTACAACTACAATCCTCTTTATATGCCAGCAAAACCATTAATCATACAGCTTTGTAACATGTGCGTAACAGTTAAACTAAACCCCAGAAGAAAAGCAAACTTAGATTTTACTGCTCCAAAAATAGAAAGTTACTTTCAAGATACTAAGTAAAACATACCACAATAACATGAGTTACAGTTGAAAGTGCACTATCTCCAGCCATTAGTGTACGAAGTAATACACCATTGGTGCAAAATGTTAACAGTGTCTTTGGAGAAACCCTGTTAAGAATGACAAAGGCACTTAAGAGCTCAGTAAAAGCAATGAATACATCTTATGAAAAGGAAATTTCATTACAAATATCTATTTATTTATTTACTTCAAACATTTCTGTATGTCCTTCGCAACCCCTGAGGGTGGACTCAGGGTGGCTTATAATTGGCAGCCATTAGATGCCAACAATAACATCAATCACATCACAAAACAAATTGACAATTAGGCGAACAACAAAATGAGAAATATACATTAAAATGTTAAAAATAAAATGTTTAAAAATTGAAACATTAAAACAGCGCCAAGCCCAAAACTACCCCTTATTACAATTGTATCACTATATCATTGTTAGCCAGAAACAGACTGTATTCCTAGTACAGGAATATAGAGTAACTCTTTTAGCAAGAATGATTCCACCTCCCTTTCCTAACAAAACCATGCTTTATATATTGGTCTGTTCAATATAGTCTGAAGGCATCTACTCAGACATCTCCAGTTTCTCATACTCCCCTTGCTCCCAAATTGAACAAAACACCTCTACACAGTTTTCTCTAGCCTTAGTCCTAAGACAGGGATGGACAAAGTGCAGCCCTCTAGATGTTGGACTGCAACTCCCAGCACTCCATCATACTGGCCATGTTGGTTAAGAGCTACAGCCCTATAATATGTGGAATGCTGCATTTTCCCACCCTCGATCTTAAGATGGAGGATTAAAAAAGAAAAGCTTCACATGCAGCTTCTCCACTGCCATGGCAGAGAGCTAAGGTGCTCCCAAAGAAAGAAAAGAGAAAAAGCCGTAGTGTCATCCCCTCAATACAGCCTGCATAGAAGCATCATGGAAGGTGTTTAAGAAAGGTGTTTACTTATTTCAAATATTTAATATCTTTAGCCTTCAGTTTCACAATGTGTAGAGTGCCTCAAAATAAACTGGACGTATCAGACACAGTTCAAAATCTTACAAAAACAACAACATTTTTACCCCACCGCCTTCTCCCCAAAGGGACTCGAGGCGGCTAACAAAGTACAGTGAAGTGCCACATATAAACAATACATAGATCCAAAAATGATAAAACCATGAAAATACAATCACGCACACACATAGTTACATTAAAATTCATAATGTAAATTATAATTCATAAAACACAGTCATAGCTGCAGAAATAAACAGATTATTTTCAATTGACACACACTCAGTGCCAAAGTGACGCCAACAGTATGTCCTCAGACTAACCCTTAAAAATATACCGTACGTAAAATTAAAGGCTTGTTTAAAAAGCCATGTTTTTAAACTGGATTGGAAGGCCTGAGCAGGAAAGAATGATGCAACATAACATCAGAATTAAAATAGTTTTTCTTATTAAGATATTTTGAAAAGACCGGGAAAAAGTAATTCTTTTGTGGATTACCATCCATCCCACCTTAGAATACACTAGGATGACATTAACACTAGGATGCACATTAGTTTACGAACAGGCAATTCCACTATAATTAGCCTGGGCAGATCTATGTACCAACAGTAGTACTGCCCCCACTTCCACCAAGACTCCTTCCATAACCTTTGAAAATAAGAGTAAGGCAGAGACAGACCCAATATGTAAATGTATAATATACAATAGGGAAAGGGTGAGAGGTGCCCATGTAAATTTTTTATCTACATAAATGTTATCACTATATTTGATTTAATAACCCCACATTTTCCATTTTCTTTAAGAGACTTGTAAAAAATATTCTATCCAGGAATACAGAGAAGGCTAGCAAGACCTGCTTTCCAGTCGGATCTGATAACCAATCGTCTGCCCAATCTTCTCTCTTCTTTCAGCCGCAACCCTTTCAGCAACAGCAATTGCAGCCAAACGCCTTGGCTGAGTACAAAATATGCGACATGGTATTCCATTTTTGTAACTATCATCAAGTAGAAACTGAGGAATCTGAATATAGAAATGTTGTGTTAATCACAGAATAATCTTCACAGATAAAACTTTATGCAAGCAACACAGACTGATAAAGCTGTAAAATCTATTGCAATGACAAAGATGATATAGAAAAGCTACTTAGTCTCAAAAATAATGTCCAGACTGATAAAATAACAATAGAAATATCACCAATGCAACTTAATTTGTGTCTATCCATTTACAATCTGTTATTTCAAATCCTCTAAACCCCATTTTTTAAACTTCAACATTCAAAAAAAGTTTGCAGCCAACAGGAAGAAAATATTACTTGATGCATTCAAGTGCTCTTCCGCTATCATCTTCTTACTGCAGAGAGGCCTACAATCATAAACTTCAGTAATTGCAAAGAGTGGCCCTTCCCAGGAGCGTAAAACTGTTCTCTTAACTATTTCTAAGAACCAAAGGAGAATTTAAGTTATCAAAGTTGATTTCCAAAAAACTAAAAAATATTTCAGTTTTCAATTATAGCACAGGTCAATATATTGCAACATCCAATTTCTTACAAACTTCCACTTTAAATTCTCATGAAATACATACCTGTGTTGTTTTCCCTGATCCAGTTTCCCCCACAATCAAAACAACTTTATTTTCTTTAATGATTCTAACGATTTCATCTTGCTTTTCATAAACTGGTAGAGACTGGCGAAATGAATCAAATTCTGATTCTCCGCGTTTCACAGGAATTTGAGGGATACCATTATTAAGTCGGCCACTTGTTTTACTCATTTCTCTGTTTTCTAAAAAAAAAATTAAAACTGATTTTCCAAACTGAGCATTAGTTAATCCTGAAATAAACAACACACTATAGGAAAAAATACTACCTGTCAAATTATTAGGAAAATACATAAATGCTTTGGATGTGTTAATGGAAAAATACCTATATCCATTAGGCCCTTAATTTTTCTTTCAATGTTCAATTCTTACAAGCCTACTTAGGACTAAAATGTGTGGGATTGGCTGAAGACATTCAGTGAGTGATCTGCTTGAGGAATCCTTGCACATATTCAAGAGAAGGAAGGATTTCCCTACATTCCTTTTAATCTGTCAAAATTAAAACATGGGAAAGCCTCCAAAACAGTAAAAGTGGTCCCTGGAGGAACCATGAATAAAAAAAACCAGCATTCTCCCATTATACTTCTAGGATCTGGACTGCAACTGCTTCCATGAAAATAAAATCCATTCAAAATTCAAACAGTAGTAGTAGTATTTCCCAGCTGCACCCGTACCTTGGGAAGTCTGCCTTGGCCACGGTAGTCCATGCTTTGGTTACAGCCCGTATAGACTACTGCAACACACTCTACGTAGGGTTGCCTTTGAAGACTGTTCGGAAGCTCCAAAGGTCAAACGGGTGGTAGCCAGGTTGCTAACAGGGTGCATACTACTCCTCTGTTGCACCAGCTCCACTGGCTGCCAGTCTGCTACCAGACACAATTCAAAATGCTGGCTTTAGCCTATAAAGCCCTAAACAGTTCTGGCCCAACCTACCTGTCCAACACATCTCTCCTCATGAACCATCTAGAACTCTAAGATCATCTGGGGAGCCCCTGCTCTCGGTCCCGACATCTTCGCAGATGCGTTTGGCAGGGACGAGACAGGGCCTTCTCCGTGATGGCCCCTCAGCAGTGGATCGTTCTCCCTAGCGATATTAGATCGGCCCCCTCCCTCCTAACATTTTGTAAAAAAAGTTAAAACCTGGCTTTCTGACCAAGCATTTGCAAATGCAGTGCAACAGACAAATACAGATCTATGGAACGACTGGACGACGCGAATTGGAAAATGATTTCAGTAAGGAGATGCTGAGGATTTATGTTTTTATTGGTTTTATATGGTTTTTATTTTATTTGCTAAATGTTTTTAAATTGTATTTTATGTTGTTGGGGGCACTGAATTGTGCTGACTGTAAACCGCCTTGAGTCACCTTCGGGCTGAGAAAGTCGGTATATACATACAGTAAATAAATAGATAAATAAATAGTATAGCCAAAATTATCAGCATTCAAGGAAGGAAGCATTTACTCTTCTGTGAAAACCAGTTTCTTTTAAAAAGTCAATACAGTTATGCCAGCTACTCAACTGTGTTGCAGCTCAAGATCGATCAGCATAATATGGTAGACATCATAAAGTTCTCCAATGCTTTCCAAGTATGAAACTTAGCAACAAATTCTTCCTTCCACAGTCTACCATTACATCAATAAGTCAAAGATCCTCCACTTACCAGCTTCAACAGCAAACACATTTCCTCTTTCTGTCTTTGGCAAAAGCTCTGTGCGTTCTTTATTGGTGACAGGAAAGCGCTGTACTAGACTCCTAATAGCATGTTTTGTGTTTAGAATCAAATTACATGTCATGACTGCATGTGCCAACTCTGACCCATCTTTTTTCTTCACTGTTAGGTACCTGTTTGCTCCTTTCCTGCAAAATTATAATATTTAATATTTATCACCAAGAATGAGAGAACTGCTCATGAGAAAACCAACAACATTTCTAAAGAATCCATTTAATGCATGCAAATGGAAATAGCATTGCTTCACAAGATATTGACTTACCCCTTACTTTTAGAAATCAGACCAAGAGACTGACTCAATCGATGAATGAATGCTCTTTCAGTACTTGTGAAGGATGAAGGAAATTCCATTTCTAATGAACAAAAAAAGGAGAAAAATTAACTTCATAGATTCCCTGCATCAGGCCTGCACAACCTGTGGCTCTGCTAAAATGCATTTCTATAAAAGCTACATATTAAAACATATTTCTAAAAAATACATATTAAAATACACAAAACAGAGATAAAACACAAGACACGCATTTAAAATTCACGATTAAAGACTGGCTGGGTAGGCCTGCCAGAAGAGGTAGGTCTTTATGTGGTTTTTAAATTCCAACAGCTGATCCAGCTGTTGGAGCTCTACTAGCAGGTCGTTCCATAGTCTTGGGGCGGTTGATGAAAATGTCCTATGGGTGATGGTTGCCAGTCGGGTTCTGACTGGTTGGAGCAGACGCCCCACAGAAGGCCAAAGTGTGCGGAGCTGAATGTATGGGAGAAGGCAATCCTTTAGGTAAATAATAATAATAATAATAATAATAATAATCTTTATTTATACCCCACCACCATCTCCCCAAAGGGGACTCGGAGCGGCTTACATGGGGCCAAGCTCGAACAAGAATTACAATATAACAATACAAATCGCAATAAAATAAACAACATAACATTAAGATATAAAACATCAAAGCATATAAAACAATATACACAGAACATAGGAACTAAGCATAATGACAGAAAGACAAAGGGCGAGCCACATGTACATAAGATGATTTAAAAACACCGGGTGATATAAGGGGGCAGAACTAATTGTAAGGGAGAACTCAGAGAGAGATAGGAAAATAAACAAACCTTCGTACGTGGAGGGGGGGGGGGACTCCTGGGACAAAAACGTTGGAGGAGCACTAGCATAAAATTATGTGGCTACTCTTCGAAAGCGCAATGGCAGAGCCAGTTCTTATGACTCTTTTTAAAGGTTTCCAAGGTAGGGGCTTTCCTAATCTCTCTGGGCAGTGAATTCCAGAGTCGGGGAACCACAGAGGAGAAGGCTCTCTCCCTTGTACCCACAAGATGAGTCTGAGAGACTGGCAAGGGCGAAAGGAGGGTCTCGCCCGAAGATCAAAGGGTACGGGCTGGTTCATGGAGAGAGATGCAGTCACGAAGGTGCCAAGCACTCCTTAAACTGCAAATCCCATTATGTTGAAGGTTGTGCTAACCCAATAGGCTTGTGGTTGGTTCAGGTTCAACTAAAGCAATGGTTCTCAACCTGTGGGTCCCCAGGTGTTTTGGCCTACAACTCCCAGAAATCCCAGCCAGTTTACCAGCTGTTAGGATTTCTGGGAGTTGAAGGCCAAAACATCTGGGGACCCACAGGTTGAGAACCACTGCTGTAACCAACGTGACTGTTGTATTTTGAACCAGTGGAAGTTTCCAATTATATAAAGTGACTAGCCATCCCCTACCATGCATTGCTGTGGCCCAATCTGGAAAATAAAGTAATTAGAAAGTGTTGGCTTCTAATATATGTAATTTCTTTATGCTTGTGGGTAAACATTATTTCTTGTTGTTTCTTTGTCAGTGTTGATGTCGAGATTGTCTGGTTTGCAACGTGTAATTGTCCTTCTTTAAGGGTCCCTATCAAATCTATGATACTACATCTGTCATATACATATATAGATGTGTGTAAATCATATCTATCTATGGCTGGATGGCTCTTTGTCGGGGAGGCTTTGATTATGTTTTGCCCTGGTGAAGGGAGTTGGGCTGGATGGCCTTAAGGCAGCATTTCTCAACCTGGGGACCAGAACCCATGGGGGAAGGTCGCTAGGGGGTGTCAGAATGGTCGCCAAACACCACCAGAAAACACAGTATTTTCTCGTGATCATGGGGGTTCTGTGTGGGAAGTATGACCCAATTCTATCATTGGTGGGTTTCAAAATGCTTTTTGATTGTAGGTGAACTATACATCTCAGTAACTACCAAATGGGAAGGTCTATTTTCCCCAAACTCCATCTGTGTTCATATTTGGGTATATGGAGTATTCGTGCCAAGTTTGGTCTAGACCCTTCATTGTTTGAGTCCACAGAGCTCTCTGGATGTAGGTGAACTACAACTCCAAAACCCAAGGTCAATGCCCACCAAACCCTTCTAGTGTTTTCTGTTGGTTATGGGAGTCCTGTGTGCCAAGTCGGGTTCAATTTCATCATCAGTGGAGTTCAGAATACTCTTTTTTTGTAGGCTAACTAAATCCCAGCAACTACAACTCTCAAATGACAAAGTTTTGTTTTTGTTTTCTTTTTGAGTGATGGTCACTTCTTGGGTTAGTCAGTGCCTACAGGCCAAATTTGCCAGCAATTCACCCAGTGGATTTTGAGTTATAATGTCATTCAAAATGAACAGAGCATTTTTATATGGAGAGACAGGCAAGATTTCAAAGAAAGGAACTGTCAAAACCACCTCTGAGCCATCCGTGCCAAGGAAAAACCTGTGAAATGGAGACACCCTGCCACTACACCCATGACTGGTTCAAGATTGGGAAAGGAGTACAGCAGGGTTGTATATTCTCACCCAAACTATTCAACTTGTATGCAGAACATTTCATGGAATGTGTGGGACCTGACGAATCCAAGGCTGGAGTTAAAACTGATGGAAGAAAATAGATGCTTTTTAACTGTGGTGTTGGAGGAAAATTCTGAGAGTGTCTTGGACCGCAAGAAGATCAAACCAGTCCATACTCCAAGAAATAAAGCCTGACTACTCACTGGGGGAAAAGATATTAGAGGCAAAGATGAAGTACTTTGACCACATAATGAGAAGATAGGAAAGCTTGGGGAAGATAATGATGCTGGGGAAAATGGAAGGAAAAAGGAAGAAGGGCCGACCAAGGACAAGATGGATGGACGTTATCCTTGAAGTGACTGACTCAACTTTGAAGGAGCTGGAGGTGGCCACAGCCATTAGAAAGCCAACAGGAAGGCTTAGAGAAAACAGTTATGCTGGGGAAAATGGAAGGAAAAAGGAAGAGTGGCTAACCAAGGGCAAGATCTATGCTCCAATTCTGTGGAACTCATTGCCTCCACATGTTAGAGCAATGTCGGAGTTGCGACCTTTTGTTAAAGCGCTCAAGACTTGGCTGTTTGGTTGTGCATTTAAGTAATTAGACCTAATTTGCCAAATAGTCACTGTTGAATGTTTTTATGTTGAATGTTTTTATATTGTGGAATGCTATTTTAAATTGTAAGTCGCTCGGAACACCTTAGTGGAGAGAGACTAACTAAAAAATAAAGTGAAGTGAAGATGGTTGGATGGTATCCTTGAAGTGACTGGCTTGACCTTGAAGGGGCGGGGGGTAGTGACGGCCGACAGGGAGCTCTGGCATGGGCTGGCCCATGAGGTCACGAAGAGTCAGAAGCAACTGAATGAATAAACAACAAAAATCCACCCATATAAAGGTTATTTTATATATTATGTTCTTCTAGATGTGAAACACAATATGTAGAAATGAAAATACGCCCTTTTTTTTTTGTCGTGTCAGGAGCGACTTGAGAAACTGCAAGTCGCTTCTGGTGTGAGAGAATTGGCCGTCTGCAAGGACGTTGCCCAGGGGACGCCTGGATGATTTGATTTTTTTATCAACCTTGTGGGAGGCTTCTCTCATGTCCCCGCATGAGGAGCTGGAGCTGATAGAGGGAGCTCATCCGCCTCTCCCCGGATTTGAACCTGCGACCTGTCGATGTTCAGTCCTGCTGGCACAGGGGTTTAACCCACTGTGCCACCGGGGGCTCCTCAAAATACGCCCTGCATGTAGACTCTTACATTATAGCCACACTTGTTTGCATTGCACAGTTATGACATTATTGCCAATTTCAGCTTCCTAGGTACACTTGTGACAGACAACAATATATGTGTTGGAGCTGAGGGTGGTGACAGCCAACAGGGAGCTCTGGCGTGGGCTGGTCCGTGAGGTCACGAAGAGTCAGAAGCGACTGACTGAATAAATAAACAACAACAAAGCCTCTACACCAGGGATCTTCAAGCTAAGGCCCGGGGGCCAGATATGGCCCTCCAAGGTCATTTACCCGGCCCTCGCTCGGGATCAACCAAAGTTTGGAACGACTTGAAAACACACAACAACAACAACAACAACAACAATCATATCTCATCAGCCAAAAGAAGGGACTCACTTCCCATTGAAATAGTAATAAGTTTACATTTGCTCAAATTGTTCTTCATGTTAATTGTTCTTCATTTTAGAGTGCTTTTTGCACTACAAATACGATATGTGCAGTGTGCATAGCATTCATGTTTTTTTCGAATTATAATCTGGCCCTCCATTTTGAGGGACTGTGACCTGGCCCTCTGTTTAAAAAGTTTGAGGACCTCTGCTCTACACCAAGCATGGGCAAACTTCGGTTCAAAGCCGATAGGCTGTTAGGAATTGTGGGACTTGAAGTCCAAAACACCCGGAGGGCCGCAGTTTGCCCAGGCCTGCTCTACACGGTAGTATTAACCCAATGGGCCCAAACGTCACCTCGCTGGTCTCCGTATCGGAACCGCTCCAGGGCGATGTTGACGGCGATTTTAACCTCTTCATCGATGCGGATGTCCTTCAGCCCCTTGGACCGGCCGCGGGAGGAGCTGGAGGAGGAGGTGGCAGCCATGGAGGGACCGCTGAGGGCCGGGGGCCGCGGAGAAACACTGCTCGGGCGGGACATGCCTCCTTCCAGGCCGGCGCCGGCTCGCCTCAGGAAGCGATGGAAGCCGAGAAGGAAAGCGAAAGGACGGGGAACGAGAAGGGGCGGGGCCTCGGCACGCGCGCTCCTGCGTCACGACCCCCTGGGCGGGAAAATGAGACGAGTTCGAAGGCGCAGGAGGCGTGAGGCCTGTTTGTATGTGGTGCGGACAGTACTGCGCATGCGCCTTCTAATCACGCCGAACCTATGAATCTCTACTGCCCTCTGTTTTGGACTTCAACTCCCAGAGTCTCTGTCCATTGACTATTGAAGTAGAGGCTTCTGGGAGTTGAAGTCCAAAGCGGTGATGCTCAAACGCAGGGGCCTCCAGGGATTTTGAACTTCACCTCCTAGAGCAGGGGTCCTCAAACTACGGCCCGAGGGCCGAATACGGCCCTCCAAGGGCATTTGCCTGGCCCTCGCTCAGGGTCAACCTAAGTTTGAAACTACTTGAAAGTACACAACAACAACAACAATCCTATCTCATCAGCCAAAAGCAGGCCCACACTTCCCAATGAAATAATAAGTTTATATTTGTTAAAATTGTTCTTCATTTTAATTATTGTATTGTTTTAAATGTCTTTTGCACTACAAATAAGATATGTGCAGTGTGCATAGGAATTCATTCATTTTTTTTTCAAATTATAATCCAGCCCTCCAACAGTTTGAGGGACTATGACCTGGCCCTCTGTTTAAAAAGTTTGTGGACCCCTGTCCTAGAGTCTCTGTGCATTATTGTAGCAGAGGCTTGTGGGAGCTGAAGGACAATTGGGTGGGTTAAGGTTTAAAGCAGGCATGGGCAAACTTTGGCCCTCCAGGTGTTTTGGACTTCAACTCCCACAATTCCTAACAGCCGGTAGGCTGTTAGGAATTGTGGGAGTTGAAGTCCAAAAACACCTGGAGGGCCAAAGTTTGCCCATGCCCGCTTTAAAGATTTCAGCATCCTTTGAACTGATCCCTTGCATTTTTCTGCCTGCTTAGTACAAAGTAGCAAAATCAAAGAAAGACATTTTAAAGTATTTTGCCTATAGACCTATTCCTTTAACATCCCCATTTTAATTCATTCAAATAAAGCTATAGTCTTCCAAATATTGTTGAATTCCACCTGTTATGATCCCTGACCATGGGTCATACTGGCCGGTGTTTATTATTTAAACACTATTATTTCATTGGCTTTTTAAATTGTATTGCGTATTTTAAACTATGGCCAAAGTGTGGGATTGTTTGCCGCCTTGAGTCTCCACAGGGAAAACAGTAGGGTATAGATAAAGTAAATAATATATAATAATAATAATCAACAAGGCTTGGATTCAACAATGTTTGAAGGACCTTACGTTCAACACCCCTTAGAAAAGGCTAGCTATTTTTGTTTTCGGTATTAAAAGATCCTTGGAGGAGAACTAAATATGTTATTTAAGGCAGAAGGTTTTTTCTTGTAATCTCTGTTAACCTAAAGAATCAGTAATATCTAGTAGTGGTATTACCAAGTTGTTATACGATGTTGTGATTTCTTCAGTATCAGAGCCAATTTGTCTCTATATGCTGGTTGCAGAGAATATAAATGGGAAGGTGCTGCTTTTATATTTCTGCCTCATCTATGAGTTTCCCGCAGGCTTATGGCTGGACACAGTGAGGCCCCATCTATGGCCCCATCTACACTGCCATATAAAATCCAGATTATCTGCTTTGAACTGGATTATATGGCAGTGTAGACTCATATAATCCAGTTCAAAGCAGATCATCTGGATGTTCTATGGCAACACAGAAGGGGCCTATGCTGCCATATAAAATCCATCTTATCTGCTTTGAACTGGATTATATAGCAGTGTAGACTACGTGTTGGACTGGATACTTTGTGCTTTTCCTGCATGGCAGGGCGTTGGACTAGATGCTCCATGTGGTCTTTTCCAGTTCTAATAATAACAACAACAACAACAACAACAACAACAATATACTTCATTCATATTCCGCTCTATCTCCCCAAGGGGACTCAGAGTGAATTACAGAATACATGTATGGCAAACATTCAATGCCGTTATACAATTCACAACAAAGACAGACAGTACATAGACAGAGGCAAAGGTTCCCTCTTTTCATATCCGGCATCTCGACTTGGCCATGGGGAGGTGCTGTTGTTCCTCTTTTCCACATCGAGGAGCATGTTGTCCATGGATGCCTTCCTGATCAAATTTTGCTGGTATGTTTTCTGGGGCACCTTTTGCCTCCCTGCCAATTTATCTACCCACATTGCTATTTTCGAACTGCTAGGTAAGCAGAAGCTAGGGCTGATGGCGGGAGCTCACCCTGATCCGCAGCTTGAACTGCCAACCTTCTGGTCGGCAATATTATCTGTAGCTGGCCACTCTTCTCAGGTTTCCCTGTTCCTACTTAGTTTAACTACAGTTCAGAAAAAAGTATTGTTATGAACCCTTAAATTAAAATCGGAAGTATTTAGGGGTGACTTGGTGAGCCCCTGGTGGTGCAGTGGGTTAAAGCACTGAGCTGCTAAACTTGTTGATCAAAAGGTCGCAGGTTCGAATCCGGGGAGCGGCATAAGCTTCCGCTGTCAGCCCCAGCTTCTGCCAACCTAGCAGTTTGAAAACATGGAAATGTGAGTAGATCAATAGGTACCACTCCAGCGGGAAGGTAATGGCGCTCCATGCAGTCATGCTGGCCACATGACCTTGGAGGTGTCTATGGACAATGCTGGCTCTTCGGCTTAGAAATGGAGATAACCATCCACACCCCAGAGTCGGACACGACTGGACTTAATGTCAGGGGACAACCTTTACCTTTACCCTTGGTGAGCAGACCCCATTCATTTTACAAAAAACCTACTCCTGGTGGATATGAAGACTGTGGGAATAAAATAAATGTAACTCAACACAGCAGTCCAGGTTTTTGTAGTTTTCTGGTGGGAAATTCCTAATCAGGATGAGGGTTTTACTATAAAATTTATTGCTGTGCACTAGGTAAAATCCTGTGAAGCATGTCAAACGAGGTTTAAAATGTGTGTATATTATAGGAAGCAATGCTGCTCTCAAGCCACTTAAACATTATTGCTTCCAGCTTGTGTGAATGCTGTCAAAGTTTTGTTATATTGTATGTATTTTATAAATTGGCCACAAGGTGGTAGCAGTCCAGCAACTATATTTCTATGTTGTATTGGTCAATATACATTTTGAGAACAATTTCCTTCTCCATTTATTTAGATGCCATTTTACCACATGATTCGCCCAAAGCATCTTAATTCAATTCTGTTTAACAAATTGAATGTGATCAGGCAGCCCAATCCATCTTAGGCATGTTTACTTACATTTCAGTGAGTTCAATAGTCCTAAGTAACTATACAAAAAATTAGCAAAGTAAGGATTGTGCTAAGGTAACAATGAGATACACTTTTGTGCATCTTCTACATTAAAGTCAATTATGGCTGTATTTGTGGTATATAAAGTTACTATGGCTATATAAAAACAGGAGATTGGGAGTCAATTAAGTGAGAATCAAACATTATGAATGTTGGTGGCCGTTTATTACCTGAGGGTTTGGCTCAGGTCCCTCATCACTATAAGCCAGGATGCAGGTGCCATATCAAATGTTTTATTCAGCTTTGTGCCCTAGAGCAATTTCCTCTCATAATTTAACTGTGGCAGCAAAGTTCCCTTGTTTTCATTCTTAGTTGTATAGCTATTTCAATGTGTGTGGTGCTTAATAATTCACATTTAAATCTGGGTTGCACTCCTGGATCTATAAACATCTTAAGCTTTTAGCATTGCTGCAATCCAATAATTTTTGGAAGGCCACATATTCCTCAATCATCCATGACTCAGAGTGCTTAACACATGCTCTGACTGGTGAACCAGCTACAACTTTTCATGGGCTAACTGACCACACACTGCTAATGTCCTGATTAGACTGCTGCAATTTATTTCATACTGGCCTGGCCCTGAATATTACTCCAAAGCAACAGAAACCACAGTGTATACAAAATACAGCAGCAATATTGCTGACAGGATCAAAAGACAATCTTAAAGGGACACCAGTGGTTGCCAATCTGCTTCTAGTCTGAATTCAGAGTGCTAATGTGATGTAGTGGTTAACTTAGACCATGGATAAGAGGATCCATGCCTGGTGAGCGTATGCTAAACTGAAAGGGCTAGGACAGAAAAACAACTTACCAGGTGGAAAACAAGCCACAGAGGTTTAATACAATTCGGCCAGAAGTGATGCAAAATGCTTCAAAGATACAAGCATACACATACAGAGAAAGCAAGACGTCTTATACAGTTTGGCAGTTATTCAAACCTCCCACTCCCTCCTTGTATTGGCCAAAACAGGGACCGGTCAGGATTCTAACCCGGATTGGCTGGAAGCTCCGCTGACATCACTGCCTCCAGGCAAAGATTTCCTTGGTAAGAAAAATTATGGCTGGGGATTGGTCACGTGAGAGACTAATTAGCTGGTGCAATGCCCTTCTGGAGAGACAATGTTAAAGAAACTGAGCTTTTGATTAGCTCAACTGTCCAGTTCCGTGTTGAACAAAGATAAGAGCTTCAGAAAACAAAGGTGTGAGACTCCTGGAACAAAAGTGACAATACTGGGCCATCAGGGGCTTGTTTGTTGAATAAAAAGTTAACAAATGCACACGCTTAAGTCTCTGTTTCTACAAACAGCAATCTCTCAGCATTGGGTGAGCCATACGGGAATACCAGTGGTTCCCAACCTGTGGTCCGTAGGCAACCAGTGATCCGCAAGAACGAATATGGTCCATGGCCTCACCATTACTACACAATTGCCTCAAAACCATGCAGCAACGAGAGCAACTGGTCTCACTAAACCTTCTTATAGTACCAAGGCAACAGGGATGTCGGGAGGGGAGAGGCTGACTACTCACGAAAGATTACTACTGCCACATTAGCTCTAGATTATTAAATATGGTTTTCTGTAGGCAAGCAGATGGTGACTACTGGATACCATATGTTCTGTATCAGAAACTAGAGCTGATGTGGTTTATCCAATGCAATTTTCTTGAATCAGCACCCCAAATAACCAAATCGAATCTAAAGTTGATCAAAAACTGATTCATAACCTTTTTGGTACTAATGTTGGAGAGTGGTTCCTGGTCAAAGTGGTCCCTGGTCAAATGGTCCCTGGTTAAGTGGTTCCTGAT